TCCTCACTTTATTTAATAGAAATGATGGCTATATATAGCCTACAAAGCAAACGTGAAACAGAAAATCAGGAGCAAAATCAGATGACTAAGTCTATACATCTGATACCAATTCAAAATAAATATCCCCTACAAAACAGGTAGAAGACCTTTTATTCAGCAAAACTAACTGACCACTTCAAAACACTTCAATATGAGAGAGATCCGTCTAACATATTCTCCTTTATAACAATCCAATCCACTACAATTTAAATGATCAAATCTCATATGTGAAAACCAAGAGGAAACAATGACACGTCTTCAGACATCTTGGATGGTCAGCTTTAGCATTAAGCCATAAGATTCTATTCTTTGACATGGGCACTCTTGCTGTCAATTACCAGCTTCATCATTCAAATACAATAACCAGTTTTTGAGTGACTGCCAATTCCAGATACAATCTTTGTCAAAGCTCAAGTTATATGTATTAAAGAAGGCACATGATAGACTGCAGAAAATAAATTTACAGATATTACTTCTATAAGGATCAAGATTATTCCTTTTCCTTCAATTATATATTCGTATCATGAACAAAAGATAATCAGGTCTTCATGTCTCTCATCAAGATTTGTGAATACATCCTTGTTGCCATTTATATGTTTGCTAGAACCCATGTAAAGATACTGCAAAAAATTGCCCTTGTTGCCTTTTATAGCTAAAAAAAAGGCCCATTCTTCCTCAATGTTCATTTAAACAAGATGGGCCTTTTTTTTTTGTAGGAATCTAACACTCATAAGCATAATAGTCATATTTGTAATGGCACAGAATATATGATCCACCGAACCTACTCTCTTATAGACATCGCGCCTGTGCCCTCTACATCTTTGTGGTTGTAGGCATGACTCTACCTGGGTGGGTTATGATCGACTCTGTCTTCTATGATCAGAAGCACTACCACCATGACAACCTCTACCTTTTCCTTTCCTTGCAATCTAGATACATACTCTTGCATTTCATCTTTCAAAAAAATTATTGCCAGAAGTACTTGCAAAGATCCTTGTAGTTTGGTCACTGTATCTGTTTCTGTGGTTATAAATACGATGAAAACAAGATCACATTTTGAGTCGAGTAAATGAATAAATTCACCTACTACATGAGGAGGTTCCCCATAATTACTCACTTGAAAGGCAATCACCAATACTCATGAATTGACTCAGAGTCTGTGTATAAAAATTCAATCTTCCCTCTTAAGGCTTGTAGGCAGAGCTATGTACTTTGGAGGATCTCCAATGCTTCATTCGTCTTTGTTGCACAAACAACCTTCTAAAACATGGAGTCGTCTAGTGCCTTTTTAGTAATGCTAATTGCATGTTGATCCGATTTTGATTCTTTTGCAAATTGTTTATTTCTTTGTACATGACTTGTTGCTCCATTTTCTGGTTCATGATATCCATTCTCTACCATCTCCATGCTTCTTGTGAACCCGAAATGGCATCATGCGGACACACCAAGGATCACGATTCTCTTATGTATGAATGGGATAGTGTAGAAGGAATACATGCACTCTAAGAAGCTCTTAGGAACTACTTGATTTGATTTCTTGGCTTACACTCGATGCTAAAAGATGACCATATATAACTATACAAGGTATCCACGATCAGAATATTAGTGAACATGTTAGTTAAGTACATGCACAGGTAAGTGAATGTTTCAGTCCTTTTTCCTTGTCCAGATCAACAAGTTAATTAGACTATGCTTCTTTAATTTACCCAACTCTAGTGAAATCTGTAAACCTACACATTCACCATACATGAATGTGAGGTACATGAACAACAGATAACTTGAATCTAGGTTAATTGTATTTCAGTTTCCAACATCTTACTTATTCTCATGTACGGCATACTACATTTTTTTGAAACTTCTATGCAGCTGTTAGATCGTAGTGCCATATGTAAGCGGATAAATAAATTTCACTCATGTGATCTATATTTAATGATTTATGATCGTTTCATCGATCAAATTGGCATAATAATTTTTTTTATGTTTATGGGGTGGTTGGGTGCAGGCCAAAGTGTTCAGGCTGGATTGTTGCCCCCATACATGGAGTCATTGGGTTCCACATTTTCAAATGGGGCCAACTTTGCTGTGGTGGGGTCCTCGACACTCCCTAAGTTTATACCCTTTGCTTTAAACGTTCAGGTTATGCAGTTCCTTCACTTCAAGTCCAGGTCCAATGAGCTTCTTGCTGCAGGTAATTCACCTGCTTCCTTGATTTTACCCCTTGAGCATCGATCAATTAGTAACAAATTTCTGTTGCTATTATCACTCCATGTATTCCTGGATTACAAGGTAGCCTTTTTGCTTTCAAATCTACCACGCTCTAAAAACAAACTCTCTATGGATTATTTTGAAGTATATAATATTTATATGGTAAGTTGAACTCTATGGAATTTTGAATGTTATTAATTTATCACCCAGAGTTGTCAATTTGTATTATCTGTATATTTGAGGTTGTTACTAGGTTTCTACCGAAAATCAGAATCCGTGACACTTACAGCACAAATATAACCATATGACATGTCCCTTTTTTTCAGAACCAAGGGAGTATTACCTGTTAAGTTTTTCTGGTTATATATATAGTAGTGGAAGTTGGGCTTATATTGGTGGTATGTAATGTGGATTTGAACTACTAGAGTTCTGAAGGGAAGTCATATATGGTTTCATCCTTTCCATTGAAATTTTTTGTTGTGTTGGAACTAGACATTCAAATATTTATGTTGTCATTTCAATTGATGACTTAGTGTAGTGCATAGGGTCAATTCCACGGAGCATAAAGGGAACTTAAAATTGCAACCTTGATCCTCTGTCTCTATGTCTGTAGATGATGTCCTGTGTAGTTAAAAGTAGTATCAAGAGTAATTACCGTCGTTAAAATTTCGTCTCTGGACTTCATCAACTTCCAGGTTCTGTGCAATGAGAACTAACTTTTTTGCACTTTCATCATTCATATTATCAAACCATCCAGCTGAAGCTCGATTCAGTAGAGGGATTTGGATTGTTGTATATTATCTATTAGTTCTTTTAGGCTTACTAATATATGCATGCTAAGGAAATCAACGGAACTCTTGAATTGTATTCAGGTTCAGGGAAGATGATAAATGGTGACGGGTTCCAACAAGCACTTTATATGATTGACATTGGCCAAAACGACCTCTCTGATGCATTTGCCAAGAAGTATTCATATGCCAAAGTCATCAAAAGAATACCATTCATACTTGCAGAAATCAAGAATGCCATCAAGGTGAGCTTTAGTAGTTGAAGAGGCTTGCTGATCTAAAGGGAGATGTACATAGATAGAGTCAATGTTTCCTCCTAAATGGGGGGCTAGTCGACAGTTAATGTTTTCAATTTATATAAAGTTAAATCTTATTGAGAACTAATATTTGAAATAAGATATACAAACAAACTGGGGATCACGAAAACAACCTCTATTCTCTTTGAGGAAGAGGTCAGGTTTACATACATCTGAGCTCTTCCAGATCCCACCTGCGGGTGGGATATACTGGACCCATTTGGTTTGGTTTGGTTTATATATAAACAAGATTATGTATTTGGACTTTCTGATCCTTCTAAAAATGCATAACTGCACATTTTACTCATTTTCCTTTTATTTCTTTGTCCAACAGAGTATACACGATAATGGTGGCAGGAAATTTTGGGTTCACAATACTGGTCCATTGGGTTGTCTACCTCAGAAACTGTGGTTGGTTCAACCAAGTTCTAGAGAATTGGATCCCCATGGTTGTATTTCAACTTACAACTCTGCTGCAAACTTGTTTAATGAGGGACTCCGTCATTTATGCGCAGAATTGAGATCAGAATTGAAGGATGCAACTGTTGTTTATGTTGATATTTACTCGATCAAGTATGACCTAGTTGCCAATGCTAACAAATATGGTATGTCCAACAGCCTGTAGCTTCATATCTATGTTCTACATGCACATTTACATGATTGTGGCCTTGCGGTTTTCATGAAAATAGTCTCTCTACATACATCCTACCCTCCTCCAGAGTTTACCTTTGTGTGAGATAATTGGGTCTAATGGTTTCATTTTGTGTAGGTTTCTCGAGCCCATTGATGACATGTTGTGGATTTGGAGGGCCTCCGTATAACTACAACATCAATGTGACATGTGGTCATGGTGGTGCTCGAGCGTGTAATGAAGGATCTAAATTCGTAAGTTGGGACGGGATTCATCTTACTGAAGCAGCTAATTCCATTCTAGCCTCCAAAATACTTTCTCAACAATATTCCACACCTCGGTTGCCATTCGACTTCTTTTGTCACTAATGGTAATTTTATGCCTTCAGAAATGTAGTTTAATTTACCAGAATAGCACTACTACATTCCACTTTGTGAAACTATCAAGACTTTAATCTATATGCTCAAATCGTCACTTTTTCCAAGTTATGTGATGGATGAAAGGTTATTGCTCTTCCTTTTTGTTGACCATGGAGAAAAGACTTGAATCGGTTACCTCCTAAAGATCCAAGTCTTATTGTCAGTTCAGCTAATCTCATATGGGTACTGCTTCATACTTGATGGTTGGTTTTAGATATTTCCAAGTACTTACTGCGATCAACTATTACTAGTGAACGCTAGTTGGCCAAGTCAAGTGGGTCATCATGGATGCGCGACCTATGGTGCAAGCCAGGTCGCGTGAACCCCTCCTTGCTAAATAAATGATAAAAACACATAAATTATGGTTAAAAAATCATTGGTTGATACTGTATTGGTACTTCTAACATACAATTGTTATTATATCAGGACAAGTATGTAACACCCTAAAAATTTATGATTCGTAAAATAAATAAATGTTAAGGGTTAAAATTTAAAGAGTAAACGACATACGGGATTAAAGTGTCGATACTCGAAAAATATGATTTTATTGCAATAAATAAAATCATTAAAAAAAAAGAGAAATGAAACATTTTGTATTTAATTGATTTGGGATGAAAGTGCAGAAAGAAAAAC